CCCCAAAACCCCAAAACCCCAAAACCCCAAAACCCCAAAACCCCAAAACCCCGTGGGCATACTAATAGGTTGATCTTGATTATAGCATATATCCAAGTAATAATATATTTAAGAACAAAATATGTGTTTTAATTACTTAGGATATCTTTCATTCACTTCATCTAACTTCTTGGCCTGAGCAAATTCCTTAAATGTATCCCTAATAGCAGGTCTCCCTTCCAATAGCAGACCCTTTGGTATTTTCCCGTCAGGAGCCATTCCTTTAATTTGGAGTAATAATTCATTTTCGTCTTTGAGAGTTCTAAAAATTTTATGCATTCTTGCAACGGATTTCACCTTCATTTTTATAACCTATATGAAATTATTTCGAATTCATACTCCAACTTTCTTGGATCTTTCAGCTGTTTCTAGGACTTTGCTAACAGCTTCAGACTCAAGATCCTCATCGACCATATCTTCGTCTGTAATACCATGCTCAAGTAGCGATTTCAGCATTGTAATGACCTTATCAGCTAAGAACGGCAATGACCAGGAAAAGACATCTATCTGATCTGGCAGAAAATAAGGATGCTCAGATTGATCATACTGCTTGATACTTATCTTATCATCCTTTAGTATTAATACAGCAGCTTTATTTGAATAATAATCGCAATAATTCGGCGCTGAAAAGATTGTCACCACGTATGGGAAACTTGATTCTCCATCCCAGCGATGCATCTTATAGCCATCTATCTGAACTTGATGAGCTCTTACAACCGACATTAAGTCATGTTTTTCAAGCAGTTTATTTAACTGGCTTTCTGCCGAACATATAGGATCATTCCCTATCTTGATTATCTCTATAATCACATTCAAGAGCTTCTGTATCATCAAGGGGATCTGCCCAAAGAAGATCTCAGAATAACCCATCAGTGGGAGGTTCTGTAAATCTATTGATGCTTTCCAAGCTGTCAAGTTTCTTGAGATCTGGAGAAATTCCACCGTGGACAGCTAAATACTTTTTACTGACCACTGCTGCAAGTGGCATGGCATCAAATACATCCATCACGGTTTGGTATACTTCCTCATCGAATTTTCGGATAGCTTCCTCTCTGAAGGTAAAATGCTGGGTCATATTTCTTCACTCGTGGTTTCCTCTTAAGAGTACGATTTTCTCAGGGTAGTTAATCTTGAGGGAGAGCAGTAGGATTACCACTTCCATTGAAAAAATTCCTCGATCGACATAATCTCCAAGGAACAAATAGTTGATTTTCTTAGGTTTCCCTGCCTTCTCAAGTAAGTGGCATAAATCATAATACTGGCCATGAATATCCCCAACTATGCAGATTGGTTCTTCCATGTGAACAAGGGTTGGCTCCTTCTTGGTGATTTCCAAGACTGTCTCTCATAGTCTCATAACTTGTTCTTTTTGAAGTTTGCCTTCTTTCTTCAAATGGTCTCTGACTACTTCCCAATCAGGGACATCCATGTCGCTCCACATTGCTTCGTCAGAAAGGGGTAAAGAAGGAGGTGGCTCTACAGAAGTAACCTGTCGATCATTACAAGGATCTAAGAGTGGCTCCATTAGATATAATAATTTTATTGTTTTATTTCAAATTTGAAACTTCGAATGGGGTTTTGGGGTTTTGGGGTTTTGGGGTTTTGGGGTTTTGGGGTTTTGGGG